CGAATGTAAACAGACTTGTGTCCTTTTATATCAGATTACCCCTGATCCTGTGAAACGGAACACTGTTTCATTTGTTTTTTTGGATCTGGCCACAGTAACCGGATGTAAATGGACCCCGTCAGTTTAAATCCAGCTACCCATAGACTTAAGGTGCCCATACACCTGCCGATTATCGTACAATAATTGCAGGTGATACCGCGATCGTACGATAATCGGCAGGTGTATGGAAGGCGTGCGACCGTTTCTACTGTACGGTTGCACGTCTTTTGTCTTCTGAGCACACTCGAAAACCCGCCGAGAACCGTATGATTTTTGGCGGGTTAGTGGCGTGCTCGGAAGACAAATGCCGAACGGGCTGGTGTGCGCAAGCGCACACTGCCCGCTCAGCATTGTAATCATCAGAAGCGCTCCCCTCAGGGGGGCGGGCTTGCGATGATCGAGAGTACAATCTGCCTGTCCAAGATGGGCAGATCGTACAAGATTTGAATGACCTTACAACCATCGCACAACGAAAGTCTTGCGATGGTTGACTTGTAAGGTGTATGGCCAGCTTTACACTGAGCATCCAATCAGGTCCGTCTGAAAAACTGACAGGCGGACTTGATTGAACCGCCCGTCCAAAAGGGGCCCAAGTCTTCCGCACCCTAACCAAAGCAAAATAAGTTTTGTCCGCATGCTTATTGACAAATGTCACCAGGAAACCAGATAAATAAACCAGCCACAAAATTACCTTCTCGGATCATTTTATTTCTTAGAAAAGAACACATTTATTCTCTCTCTCTCTCTCTCTCCCCACAAATAATTTAGAATCTTAAAAAACAAACAAATGTAAAATCCTACTCAATGTGAGTGAGGCTTACAGTGGGTAATAGTTCTAATACTGCCATTGACCTCTACAGCACAGCACACTGCAGGAAGGTTCTGTGACAACACTGCATATGATGGCGGAGTCAGCATGGACACATACATTGGGACTACAAACCTCACACGGACATAACTGTAAACATAACAGACCCTGGCTAAGGGCCACCAGACGGGCAATGTAGCACCAACGATGCCAGAGATTAAAATCGCCAGCTCCAGATTGCTGTTAATCTCTGTTGTCACCCCGATTTCATTAATTTATTGATTCAAATGACAGTAAACTCAGGAATTAAACCTTAAAAATAAATTCAAGTCCCTTAACTATTAACAAAAATGTATCTTATTTGTGTATCACTCGGCTGTAGATCCTCAAATTATCTCTGAATTGGTGCCGACACTGTCCTTCCTTCTGGAGGGTGACTACCTTTGTTCCCCATGGTCCCTGTGTGTGTTGTAAAGTAGTCACCGCTCCAAGCTCACTCCTGTGATGGACTACAATGTCATATTTAGTTTACTCATTTGTACTGAGATTGTTGTCCATCACAGGAGTGAGCATGGGGAACAAAAGTAGCCCCCCTCCAGAAGGAAGGACAGTGTCAGCACCAATTCAGAGATGATTTGAGGATCTAGAGCCGAGTGATACACAAATAAGATACATTTCCGTTAATGGTTAAGTTACTTAAATGCATTTTTAAGGTTCAATTCCTGAGTTTGTCACTTTAATTTAACAATAACTTAATAAAATCGGAGCCACAGCAGAGATTAACAGCAACCTGGAGCTGGTGATGTAATCTCTAGCATTGTTGGTGATATGTCGCTGCTACAGCACTAGGTTAGGACTCGTACACGCACGTACAATTTGCTGCATTCAGATCCTTCATTTACACAGCTCGGTATGCCCCAGTGTTGTATCCTATGGGCCCCTGCACAACGGCCCGCTTTGATCCGCAGCCATTGGCTGTGTAAACCAAAACTAGATAAATGTGTGTCCAGAGTAGTTCATTTGGCTGTATTACACTGTGCACCTGTAACTTATGGACGCTGCCACCACTGCTCCGGGCCGACACGTCAATAGAGTGTAATCAGTGGGCACGGATCACATGCAGAGGTGGCACATAAATAAAATGACCTCGGCCTTTGTTCTGGGCATGCACTGCTGCCTTGTGAGCAACTCATTCAGAGCCGACATGTAAACAGTATATAATCAGCGGCAGTGGTACCCACCGATTACACACTGTTGTTTATGTCGGCCCTGAGCAGCGGCTGCCTAGTGAATGAGTCATTTGAACCATTCACTAAGCAGCGGTTTCCTTAGAAATTGCTTTAAATGGGAACTATGGGGTAAGTGTTATACTAACCTCCTCCCGTGACCCAAAGCTCAGTATATAGCGAGCCATTGCCCGCGATATACTGAGACCGCCGCAGCCGGGACAGATCCCAACATTACTGTCTGGATCCATCCAGCTGCGTGAGTGACAGCTGGCTCTGCCTATCTAGAGGCAGAGCCAGCTGTACCCGCCCCCTCCCCTGTCCGTTCCGCCAGTCAGCGCTGGAGAATGGGTGAATCCCTGCGCGGAGCGGTGACAGTCACTGCAGGGAAGTGAGCGGATCGGCTGCATGTTTCTGCTCACTTTCCGATCTATAGAGTCATGTGACAGTCTCATTGTCACAGGTCGGCTCTAACTATGAGGACGCCTGGAAATCACTCACCTCATAGATCTCCTTTAAAGGGAAGAAAAAGAAAAGGAGGATCACCGATAATAAATCGTCCGTCTGACATGACCACAATAGCTTTTCCCGCAGCTACAAGAGCCTAATGCTTCTATTGTTTAACTAATATATAAGAATTCAGACTATTCTGCTACAAGACTGAACTAGAACCAGAAACCATTACAAGCCTAAAGTCATTACTGGCAGAGAAGACTCTTTCCAATGGAGTGGTGCAAAGTGTTTCATGCCGAGTTTTCAGTACAGAGTTTTTAGCGTGCTTCATTTTGGCACAAACAATCTTCTATGTGATATCCCCACCTGCTGAACCAAAAAGATGGAATCATTCATTGTAGGCATACAAGCCATGCGTGCTCTTTAGGGAGATTGCCACAAAGTCGGATAGAAGTGACATTTCAGGACCGATCAGCTGTTCCAGGGCAGATCGGTTCTCCTGCACATACACTTGTGCTCATAAGTTTACACACCCTGGTAGAATTTATGATTTCCTGGACATTTGTCAGAGAAGATGAATGATAACACGAAAACCTTTCCGTCACTCATGGGTAGTGTTTGGCTGAAGCCATTTATTATCAATCAACTGCGTTTACTCTTTTCCAATCATAATGACAACAGAAACTACCCAAATGACCCTGATCAAAAGTTTACATACCCCAGTTCTTAATATGGTGTGTTGCCCCCTTTAACATCAATGACGGCTTGAAGTCTTTTGTGGTATGTGTGGATGAGGCCCTTTATCTTCTGGCCAGGAAATCATTAATTCTGCCAGGGTATGTAAACTTATTAGCACAAGTGTACCATCTGCGATGCCGATCTGCCCAGGAACAGCTGAGAAAGCGTTGGAATTCTTCGCCTTTTGCCGGTCACACATTCCACTGCCAAAAAAGTGGGCGGGATTACGTTAAAATGTGCGACCACGTCACCGGTCACACGTTCTAACGTAGTCACGATCTTTGATAGAACACCGGAGCTAGGGACCATCTGTGCCTTTCTGCCCTTCAAATGTCCACTATGAAGACCACTCTTCCCTAGGTGGAGGCTGGTCCCGACTTGGCCCACCTTTCATGTAGCAGGCAGAACCATGGAGAACGAAGCCACTCATATACAAACACTAAACTGCTATGACTAATGACAAACTAGTGCAAAGTTCTGCAATAAGATCATTCAAGAATGCAATAGAGCCCCTTCCCGCATCACGAAGAAGCCTTTTCTCATACTGATTCATCACATGGATATGTTACCGTGTTTCCCCGAAAATAAGACCTAGTGATATCATCAGGGATTTCTGTAATATAAGACCTACCCCAAAAATAAGACCTAGTTCGGTGGTAAGTCTTATATTACAGAGATCCGCTAGGTCTTACTTTCGGGGTATAATAGGATTTTACATGTCACGGCCGCAGCTCCCTCCCTCCCATCCGCACGCACGAGCGGACAGCTGCAGCCAGGTACACATAAGACATCCCCCGAAAATAAGACCTAGTCTTTTTTTGTGAAAAAAAAAAATATAAGACACTGTCTTATTTTCGGGGAAACACGGTAATGTGATAATACAATATTTCAAGTTATGGGGTTTATTAAATCGTTTTCCATTTTCTCTTTCCTTTATCTGGTCTGCAGAGAGGCGACTGGCATGCGATTGGACACGGTTAGGGATCAAAGTCATATCTCATTCTCACAATAAAGGAGAGAATCCGGCATGCAGCCTTACCAGAATGCTAACGTCAGATTCACCCATCGCTTGATCATGTGACCTGATACCACATCCTGGTGACCACCAAGCCATTGCTGGCAAGCAAACCTCTCTTTGGACAGCAGTCACCATATGGTCCTACTGGGAATCCACTATGGCGTCAGCATTACTGTCGCCTGCCGCTAGGGGACGTACCAAAGGAATAAATGTAGAGTGCATTACAGAGAAGGGAAACAGTTTTGATTCACATTAATGGCTCAGTGGTCACTGGAATAGTAAGTGAGAGGAAATATCCCCAATGGGGGCACAGCATTTCAAGTGGGGATGAACCGATACCGGTTTTTCGGTATAGAGCAGGAGCACCGACATTTGTTTTTCAGTACTCACCAATACCGAAAGTCCCATTAAGGAAGACAGACAGCATGTAATGACTCGCCACCCGGCATCCCGATTAGCAGGGAAGCCGTCTCCATGCTCCACCGTCACCTGGTGATGAGGGAGCGTGGAGCCGGCTTTCTGGCCAATCAGGACGCCGGTTGCCATGTAATGACGAGTTGCCTGGCTTCGTGGTTGGCCAGCTTCATGACCAATCAGGAAGCCGGGAACCTCGCCATTACACAGCGTCTGGTGTCCTGATTGGTCGGGAAGCCGACTCCATGCCCCCTCGCCAGCAAGTGACGAGGGAGCATGAAGCCGGCTTTCTGGCCAATCAGAAAGCCGGGGGGTGTGTAAGGACACGCTGCCCGGCTTCCTGATTGGCCGCGAAGCAGACTCCATGCTCCCTCGTCACAAGCGACGAGGGAGCATGGAGCTGGCCAATCAGGAAGCCGGGCAACGTGTAATGACACACTACCCGGCTTCCTGATACCGGAAGTATCGAAGCATTAGGGCGAGTAGGAGTACTCGCCCCAAAAACTCGGTATTGGCACCTATACCGATACTAGTATCAGTAGATCCCTAATTTAAAGCTTGGCATACTTTATCCATAAACTACAAAGTCGGGCTGGGGTTGCAGATTAGGGGGTGTCTCTATATATTTGTGTACAGTCTTATTAATGGCAAGTATAATCATGAGCAAGTCAAACTCCCCTCAGCATCATCGTCGTCATCATCATCATCATCCTCCTCCTCCTCATTCCCCAAACTCTCGGCTCTGTCCACGGTTTATCACCTGCCCCGACGCTTCCAATGCCGGCACTCTGGATCTTTGGAGGTACTTGGCACCAGTGAAATATATGGGGAATTCACAAGTCCCCAGAGCACAGTGCAATAATGGGAAGCATGCGAGCAGGTGATGGTCTGCGGCAGAACCGAAATTTTGCTTCTGCACATCCGACAAAGGCTGCCATTAAAGTAAGTTTAACTTGCGCATGGCACCGGTCACCCTCAACACCGTATAACACTTCCCGGAGTCGCCCTTTAATATCCATTCTATGTAGAATAATGCCGCTGTATAGAACTCTATACATTTTTGGAAAAACCAGGAAAAAAAATAGACTGCAGCGCTATGAATGTCTATGACTAGGTCTACAGTGAAGTATGCGATGTGCGGGTAAGGAATGTACCACGGCTATAAAAATGTCATAAATACGAACAAGACTTTCTCCAACCACACTTACTAAAGTGACAATACATTCCATGAAAGTCTTTCACAAACGTCTTAGAAAAATAAATATCTTTAAGGGGCAGCTTTAAACACAGAATATGTTGGTGTGACCACACCTCTCTGGAATACACGTTGACGGAGGGAAGAGCGGGAATCTTTAATTGAAGTTAGTTTTTCGTAAATGTCTATTTGGTATTTCTATTGCACTGACTTGAAGAGGCCACGAGCCTCCCATAATCCCGGCTTGTATCGCCACTCCTATCACTACGGCCAGATCTGGGTCAACCGATGTGTTGGGCTCCATGCTGAAAAAGTCCCTGATGACTTGCCGAATACGAGGTATACGCGTAGATCCGCCAACGAGAACAATCTCGTCCACCTCACCCTTCTCCAGGTGCCCCTCTTTTAATACGCGTTCTATAGGAACCAGAACCTTCTGGAACAGATCGTCGTTCAAGTGCTCGAAGAGCTTCCTTGAAATTTCTGCTTCAAAATAGACCTTTTGGGCTCCACCGCTCTCATCTTTCTGGTTGTCCTGGTTTAAGGGGATATTCTCCTGGGTGCCACCTTCTTGGACCTTCTTCTCTGGTTCCAAGGAGTGCTGCGGAGGTAAAGTTAAAGGCATACGGACCCATGAGGAGTTATGCAATGTGAGGTTCAACTTGACGGCTTCCACAGACTGTCTGAGTCTGTGGATTTCTTCTTTAAGAGGTGGCAGGGATCCATAGGTAGTATAAATATTTTCATATAAGTACTGCAGTAGTCTCTGATTGAAGTCCTGACCTCCGAGCTTATTGTTACCTGTGAAGTTCATCAAAACCAAAAACTTTAGGCGAGTATAAACCTCAAGCAAGTCAATATCTCCCCAAAACCATATGAATGCACAATCCACTCAGTCTAAACATTTCAGTGTTTTTATACAGATGGAGGGTTTTCATTTCTGACTTGACCATGTGCAAGGACTGATGACACACTTATTTTGCTTAGGGTGCCCACACACCTTACGATAATTGTACGATAATCGCGGGAAACCCCGCAATCGTACGATTATCGTAAGGTGTGTGGAAGCCGTGCGACCTCTACTACTGTAAGGTTGCACGACTTTTATCTTAGGAACATGTTTGAAAACCCGCCGAGCATCGTATGGTGTTTGGCGGGTGTGTAGCATGTTCGTAAGATAAAAGCCGGACGGGCTGGTGTGCGCAAGCGCACACTGCCCGTTCGGCATTGCGGTCATCGGAAGCCCGCCCCTCAGGGGGGCGCGGCTTGCGATCATCACAAAGTACGATCTGCCTGTCCAAGATAGGCAGATCGTACGTTTTTTTAAAATTACCTTACAACCATCGCAAGACAAAAGTCTTACGATGGTTGTAAGGTGTGTGCCCATCTTTACACCCTAGCCAATTAGCTGCTTTAATGGGTTTCTATGGCCGGCCTGTGCTGGAAGTGGCAAATCATCTCTGAGTAGTAGCCTCAGAGCTGATCAGTTTTTAGGATTTTACAGAAATGATAACTGCATGCACACAGTATAAATGGTGCCCTTCATTACCTCAAAGATTTGCAGACTCATCAAAGTAATTGTAACATCATGGCTGCAAGGGATACCGTCATCCCGTAATTCTCGTACTTGGCCAAATACTCCCAATGCTGGAACTATCGGTATCAGGAAGCCGAGCGCCGATTCATTAACTGCCCCCCACCTTCCCGATTAGATGGAAAGCAGACTCCATGCTCGCTCGCCGCTTGGTGAAGAGGGAGCATGGAGCCGGCTTCCCGGCCATTGTGGAAGCCGGGCGCCGTGTAAACTCGCCCAGCTCCCTGACTGGTTGGGAAGCTGGGCAATCAGGAAGCTGGACGGCGAGTCATTACCGTCCCCCGCGGTTTCCAGATTGGACAGAAAGCTGGCTCCATGCTCCCTCGCCGGCTGGTAACGGAGACGGCTTCCCTGCTGACCGGGAAGCCAGGTGGCGAGTCATTACACGCCGCCCGGGTTCCTTAATGGGACTTCCGGTATCGGTATTGGCGAGTACCGAAATAAAAAAGGATATCGGTACTCGATACCGAAAAGCCGGTATCTTTCCATCCCTAATTCTAACTCCTCACCACTTTATGCAAATCTAAAAAAACAAAATTAAAAAAAAAGAAGAAGGAATGTGTTGCCTTCATATTTCTATAAACGTGTCTGCTCACCTGCCATGGCTCGAGTTAGGAACATTCCTCCTTGCTTATTTAATAGAGACACGTCCAACGTTCCTCCTCCCAGATCAACCACAAGGACATTGAATACATCAGCTTTATGTAACCCGTAAGCCATCGCTGCTGCTGTGGGCTCATTAATGACTCGCAAAACATCCAGACCTGAACAAGGAAAACAATGCAGCTATGAAATTATCATTAACCAATAACATAGGAATAGGAGAGAACAAGAACAAACTTTATTGTACAGCGTCTATAAAACAAAAACGAGTCTCTTGTTAACTAAAGCAACCCGCCAGATTCTCACTCTCATTCCCAGTGCAGAAAAAACAAACTCTGCAATGGTTGTCAAGGGCATAAAAAAAACAACAACTCTTCCTTGGACTGCATAACAAATTTCAACTTATTCTAAATGACATCTCTAAACAATAAAACGTTGGGGATGCACCGAAATGGAAAATTACTTTTCCCCCAACCTTCTTACAATGATTTTTAGGTTATATTATTTATTTTTTTACTTTATTGGGGGGGTCAATGGACCCCTGATATTTCCCTTTTAAAATAGAAAAGTATTGAGGAAACAGAGTCCACAATCTCTTTTTCTACAGCCCCAGCACCCAATGCACAGGCTTCCTGTTTATTCATAATCTGGAGATAGTAAATATTTACTAACAACCCAGTCATGAATGGACAGGAAGCCTCTGCACTGAGATGCTTCCTGTTCATTCATAAAGTGAGCAGCTGGTAAATATTTACTAAGTCCCTAATCATAAATAAACAGGAAGTGATGTATAGCATTACCTGTGCATAGAAAACTGGGCACATAGCAAGCTTACTATGTCCTCAGATGTTTACAAACACTCAGCGATCAGTACTCTGCTCTCCATTCTAACTGCGCCGCCCGTCACAGAAGCAGAGTTCTGACCAGCACCAGCCCCGCTCGGCATCCTGACATCTCTCTCCTCCCCGCTCGGCATCCTGACGGCTCTCTCCTCCCCGCTCGGCATCCTGACGGCTCTCTCCTCCCCGCTCGGCATCCTGACGGCTCTCTCCTCCCCGCTCGGCATCCTGACTATATATTAGTGATGACAATTTTTTTTTTTCCCGACAGAGCACAAAACCAGAACATCTTGAGAAGCCTTCCTCAACTGGGGTTCCATGGGACCCTAGGTTCCCTACAGAGGTTGTTTGGGGTTCCTTGAACAAGGATCAATTTCTGCCTCTCAGAAAGGTGATTTTTTTTTTAGCCATCTGTAAGGAGCCCATTCTTCCCAATGACCACAATGTAAGAAGAAGTCCTCCCACTGATCACCAATTCTCCTATGCGACAAAAACACTAGAAGGATCACTCACCAGCCAGGTTAGCGGCCCTTACAGTATAGTTGCGCTGTCTTTCATCAAATTCGGCAGGAACTGAAATAACAGCTTTAGACACGGGAATACCGAGGTACTTTTCTGCCATCTTCTTCAGCTTCAAAAGTAGAAGAGCGCTAATGTCCTCTGGGGTGGTGGTGAAGGTCTCATTGGTTTTGATAGAATACACAGCTTTACCCTCATTGTTCAGAACCTGCAGACACAGCATCCAGCACACAGTTATTGGGTTTTATACTTCGAAGAAAGCATTTAAAGAATTGTTAGACTAAATCATTGGTTATAAAATAAGGTCATGTGCATCTCCCACTGCTAAATGGACCTACCGAAGACACTGTATATTGGTACTAAGGATTGTCACTGGGGATGCACCGATATCAATACTAGTACTGGTATCGGAGCCGTGTATTTGGGCGAGTACTCGTACTCGCCCAAATGCTCCGATGCCTAGCCCGATACTTCCAGCACGTCATTATACGCTGCACGGCTTCCCGATTGGCCGGGAAGCCTGCTCCATGCTCTCTCGTCGCGTGTAATGACGTGCTGCCCAGCTTCCCGATTGGTCGGAAGCTGGCCAATCAGGAAGCCAGGCATCGTGTAATGACGCGTTGCCCGGCTTTCTGATTGGTCGGGAAGCCGGCTTTATGCTCCCTCGTCACCTCATGACGATGGAGCATGGAGCTGGCTTCCCAGCCAATCAGGAAGCTGAGCGCCGTGTCATTACACAGCGCCCGGATTCCTGATTGGCCAGAAAGCCGGCTCCATGCTTTCTCGTCACCTAGTGACGAGAAGCATGGGGACTGCTTCCCTGCTACTTCGGGAAGCCGGGTGGGGAGACATTACACGCCGCCTGGCTTCCTCAATGGGATTTCCAGTACTCTGTATTGGCGAGTACAGAAAAATAAAAATATCGGTACTTGTAACCGAAAAAACGGTATCGGTGCATCCCTAATTTACACTCTAGTGGAAAGTGACAATTGGAGACAAAGTGTGAATCTGATTGATGGAAAAGAAAATGAAAAAAAAAAAAAGGACAGTTCTTGCCACTGGCACTGTTACATGGGGTGGGGCCCACCAAGAGTAATAACTAGTCAATACGTCTCACCAAGTCATCATTAGAAGACTTTAACAAAATCCCTTCTTGCTGAAGGTCTAAAAGTTTTTAGCGCAATGGTAAATATTTTCCCAGTGTTCTTTTTTAAAGAGGGCCTTTCACAGTCTTCGTAATATTCAGTGCTGGAGATTTCAGTGAAGGTTTCAAGTAGGAAATGAAGCCACCAAACAAACGTGTGGCCCTCCGCATACATCCTATACCAGCCATTCTCCACCAGGGTGCTGCAGCACCCTGGGGTGCCTTCTAGCTTCGTCAGGGGTGCCCTCATACTTCACACAGTATTATGCATTCCCATGGTGCAGGCAAGCTGGTCACCAGCACTATGGAAAAGCATGATGCCGCACCATGGTGGGCTGCATTCAGAAGAAAGAAGTCCACCTTCATCAGGACCTGCTCCACCTCCAGTTCTCTGCCATGCTGCTGCAGGCACGGTGATGGTTGGAAGGTAGGACCTGATGAAATCTCCTGATGTGAAAGGTGGAAACACTTTTTTTGGGGGGGTTATTCTAGATAATACTTCAGACGACTCTGTTAATAGTGAGCATGTGTAGGGGCTACCACCAATTTTCCAACCTAAGAATTATCCTCTTGGAAGTTGTAATAATATCAGTGCCATATTTGCACACAAGTAAAGCGCACGCATTCCTATTTCTATTATCTGCTGCACTATATAAGCATTTGACACCTGCTTGAACCACCACTGTCCTGCACTTCCATGGCCAACATAAAGCATCACCCCACTCAGGAAAGATATAACCTAGAGATAACCGTTTAGTCTTATTCAGTGGTCCTTAGTGGTGCACCCCTGAGAAAAAGGGTTTAGTTTTGGGTCACGTTCTCTTCCCCTGTGAACTAGAAGCACAGTGTACAGTCTTACCTTGAATGGATACCTGTCACTCTCCTTCTCCAGCTCCTCGGGGGTAAAGATTTTTCCAATGAATCTTTTGGCATCATATATGGTATTTTGGGGGTAGGAATCTGCAAGCTCCAGACCTTCATATCCCACATATATATCCTGCTCTGTGAAGGACACAATGCTTGGGATACTCTGGTGACCGCCATCATCCATAATCACTTTCACTTCTCCCGTGCCAGACTGGAACACCCCAACAGAACAGTAAGTGGTTCCAAGATCGATGCCAATCACTTTTGGAGTGGGCATAGGCAAATATTGCTGTGCCAAATATCCAGCTAACAGAAGGGCCAAAATGGCAGAACCTAGTGTGGGAACACAGAAAATGACATTTAGTAAAAATATTAAAGAGCACGGCAGGCAACAAATGAAAGCAATTCATGAACTGACGATCCTACCCAGCAAATACCGCAGATGTAATCAGAACATTCACCTTAATCTGAGTTCTGTGTATTCCACTGACGCCAGAAATCACTGAGCTATGTAAACGGGTCTCTCACTCCATGAAGTATCTGCAGTCACATTTCAACTTCTCAGATTTGAATGCGTGGAGTGCGTAAGGCGCGGAGGGCAGTGGTCCGGAGTGCGTCAGGCGCGGAGGGCAGTGGTCCGGAGTGCGTCAGGCGCGGAGGGCAGGGGTCCGGAGTGCGTCAGGCGCGGAGGGCAGGGGTCCGGAGTGCGTAAGGCGCGGAGGGCAGGGGTCCGGAGTGCGTAAGGCGCGGAGGGCAGGGGTCCGGAGTGCGTAAGGCGCGGAGGGCAGGGGTCCGGAGTGCGTAAGGCGCGGAGGGCAGGGGTCCGGAGTGCGTAAGGCGCGGAGGGCAGGGGTCCGGAGTGCGTAAGGCGCGGAGGGCAGGGGTCCGGAGTGCGTAAGGCGCGGAGGGCAGGGGTCCGGAGTGCGTAAGGCGCGGAGGGCAGGGGTCCGGAGTGCGTAAGGCGCGGAGGGCAGGGGTCCGGAGTGCGTAAGGCGCGGAGGGCAGGGGTCCGGAGTGCGTAAGGCGCGGAGGGCAGGGGTCCGGAGTGCGTAAGGCGCGGAGGGCAGGGGTCCGGAGTGCGTAAGGCGCGGAGGGCAGGGGTCCGGAGTGCGTAAGGCGCGGAGGGCAGGGGTCCGGAGTGCGTAAGGCGCGGAGGGCAGGGGTCCGGAGTGCGTAAGGCGCGGAGGGCAGGGGTCCGGAGTGCGTAAGGCGCGGAGGGCAGGGGTCCGGAGTGCGTAAGGCGCGGAGGGCAGGGGTCCGGAGTGCGTAAGGCGCGGAGGGCAGGGGTCCGGAGTGCGTAAGGCGCGGAGGGCAGGGGTCCGGAGTGCGTAAGGCGCGGAGGGCAGGGGTCCGGAGTGCGTAAGGCGCGGAGGGCAGGGGTCCGGAGTGCGTAAGGCGCGGAGGGCAGGGGTCCGGAGTGCGTAAGGCGCGGAGGGCAGGGGTCCGGAGTGGGTAAGGCGCGGAGGGCAGGGGTCCGGAGTGCGTAAGTCGCGGAGGGCAGGGGTCCGGAGTGCGTAAGGCGTGGAGGGCAGGGGTCCGGAGTGTGTGGAAGGTTGAATGATGACAGCAGCAGTCTATGGTCTCTATGATTTGGCGCCCAGGACATGTGCCATACCCTGGATAAGTCATCTTTTTTATGCCCTTCCTGCGTTTTCCCATTGCTGTTGCCGTGTTTTGAAGCGGCCGGGTTACTTTGCGCCATTGTCATACATGACACATTCAGCATGCAGGTGTGAGCAGCACAAAGTGTGAATCAGCCTCAGCAGTCATCAGGAGTACAATAGGCAAATGTCACATAAACAACCTCCATCGCTTCCTGTTCTATCACTTGTGATGCAACCTCTGCAATAAAAAGTCTCACACTCAGAGGCTGGCTTTGTCAATCCAGAACCTTTTCCAGATGTTTCAGCACCACGAAGGCAGAACATAATGGACCTGCTATTTTGTATGATGTACTATGGGAAATAAGAGCTTACAGTAGGCATGAGCCAACTGCCCTTCCCATTGAAAAGAAACTACTGGTCCCAGCATGGGATTAATGAGTAGAAGGCCCCACCACCCCAAGGACAGAGCAATGGCAGGACTTGGGTATGGATTCAGTTTCCAGTAAGGGGGTGTATCACTGACAGTTCTCAACAGGCTGCACAAAACTCGTTTTGAACCAATCCCAATTTGTTCCCAACCAATCTGCCTTGTCGCAATATATGAGACCACCATGATACATCACCCACAACGCAGTCATTGCTTGTAATCCGGCAGCAGATACAAGTGGGCCCAGAAGTATACAGTTCTGTAGGCATGGGCAGGTGTGAGACTCTACAAAGTGACCCCCATAATGTTCCATGTGGTCTCCACCTACATATTCCTTCTATCCATATGGTACCTCCTATGTGACCTATTGGGACCCTCAGAGCCACGGCCGACCCAACTGGGACCTCAGAGCCGACCCAACTGGGACCTCAGAGCCGACCCAACTGGGACCTCAGAGCCGACCCAACTGGGACCTCAGAGCCGACCC